TATAGCTTTTGCACTCAGCCTTTTCTTTTCTTCTATTTTTACGATGTTGATTAATAAAATAAAGGAGATTAATACAGTTTCTTATTATTAATAGGAAAGTAGTAGCATTTATTCTAGATTGGTGGAAACAATTCGTGTAATAAGGACAAAAATAATGATTCTTTAAATTTTGTATTCTCTACTCCAAAGTGATAATCTTGTAAAGCTTTTTGTGTGTTTGTTTTATAGTATGGAGAACTTTCTCCGCTAAATTTTACTTGTTCATTATATTAAAAATATATTTTGTGTGTATTTGTTTTATTCTAGACATGATCAATCACCTATTTTCGAAAATGACATTTCAAAACCTCAGACTAAATATCAATTAATATTGATATCTTAAAAAAAACTCGTAGTAATTGTCATTTGTTAAGAAAATATACAAAGTTCAAACTTAGAACAAAGTAAAAATAAATAAAGAGAACACTTATTTAGCAAAGTCATGGTCAAAGACTATAACTTAAGTAGCAGCTCTTCTTGTACTTTATCTTTTCTTCATTTATTGGTATACCTATGCAATATTTAATATCTTCCTCTCGAGTCATACATAATTTTTTCTTTGTACACTTTTACTCGCTCACTATATAAACAAATACATAACAAACTATTATATTATCCAATATCCATATATGGGCTATTAATACATGGGATAACTAATCTTAATATACCAAATCAAACAAAGGATAAGAAATAATTCCAATATAATCCTTCCGTTCATTTTTACTTGTCATTTATTTTAAAATAGATTTTTATTTTTAGTTATTACTTTTGACATATCAACAAAAGATAATTATTTTTTTCTATGTTTTACCTTCAACATTAAATACTTATTCTCCAAATTATTTTCCAAACCCTAATAACTACTCTTAATATACCAAATCAAACAAAGGATAAGAAATAATTCCAATATAATCATTCCGTTCATTTTTACTTGTCATTTATTTTAAAATAGATTTTTATTTTTAGTTATTACTTTTGACATATCAACAAAAGATAATTATTTTTTTCTATGTTTTACCTTCAACATTAAATACTTATTCTCCAAATTATTTTCCAAACCCTAATACTCCCTCCGAACAACAACAGTTGTTCACTATACTATTTTGGGATGCCCATCATTACTTGTCCACTTTATGTAATCAATGGACAATTTTACACTTAGTTCCTAATTTACCCTTATCACTTATTATAGTCATTTCCCATTACATTTTTCAAGACACAATATTTATTATATTCAAGGGGTGATATAGGAAAATTACATTTTTAAGGGAAAATTGTATGAAATAGCAAATTATTAATTCAAATTAAATGTTATAGCCATAGTTTCTTTTATTTGTAATTCGCAGCAAACATTTCATTTTTTTTGCCATCCCATTTGTATACCAAAATATACAAATAGACCCATTCGGTATAGATATGTGTTGTATAAAAATTAATTGCAAGACCCACTTGTATATCAAAATATACAAATAGACCTATTCGATATACATATGTGTTGTATATATGTCGTAATTTGTATACATATGTGTTGTATATATATAGATTTTTATGTATATGTATTTTGAAATATACAGATTAATAGCCATAGCAAACATAAAGTTTGCTATGGAGCGCAATTATACAAACTATAACTATAATATACAAATATGATTTTTATGTTTTCTAAATCTAAAATTTACTCTTTTTTTTTTTTATAGTTTCTAAAGAAATATGCAAAGTCAATAGTGGAGGAGTACTAAGCATAATTTTTTTCTTAATAGGCATGTCAAATCAAACCGTGACAAATAAAAATGAATAAATGAAATAACTAATATTAGCATTACTAATACACCGTATTCTTATACACTCCATCAAACACCGTTAGTAATGAACCTAGGAAACCTAGAACTCCATAGTTAATCATAATAACTTGTCTCTTTATTTGTGTGTGTGTGTGTTGTCTGCTTGTCTGTTGAACTACAGCCTGTGGATTGTCCTTCCTTCCTCGGCCTTGACAAGAAAACACTGAAATGATACATTTATCCATCACTTCACTTTTAACTCTACCACCAAAAAAATAAATGAAAAACAAAGGCTGCCAAATTCCTATATAAACACTTGTTCCCATCTCCTAAAACAAACCAAGAATCCAAAAGACAAAGAGAGAAGCCATAAAAGAGACTTTCCCTTCTAGTTTTGCTTAGTTTTCTGCCAAACATTCATATCTCTTTCCTCATTTTCTTCCTCTTTAGTGAAACTCCACCTCTTTTACTCACATGTCCACTGAATTTGAGAAACATAAAAGAGAAACCATCTAAAAAATAACCTTAACTTTCCTTTTTACACTCTCCTAGCTCCAAACTTGAAGGCAAAACTCAAATCCCTTTTAGTATTATCTCCAATTATACTCTAAAAATGGAAGCTTTTCATCATGCCCCTATTAGCTTTCACTTTCCCTATGCTTTTCCTATCCCAACACCAACACCAACACCAACAACCAATTTTCTTGGAACTCCAAATTCATCATCAATTAATGGAATGATCAACACTTGGATGGATAGTAGAATTTGGAGTAGACTTCCACATAGGCTTATTGATAGAATCATTGCTTTTCTTCCACCACCTGCTTTCTTTAGAGCTAGAGCTGTTTGTAAAAGATTCTATGGACTTATTTACTCTACACATTTTCTTGAATTGTACTTACAAGTTTCTCCTAAGAGAAACTGGTTCATTTTCTTTAAACAAAAAGTACCAAGAAACAACATTTACAAGAACATGATGAATAGTAGTAGTACTAATTCAGGAATTTGTTCTGTCGAAGGGTACCTGTTTGATCCTGATAATCTTTCTTGGTATAGGCTTTCTTTTGCTTTAATCCCACAAGGGTTTTCTCCTGTTTCATCTTCTGGTGGATTGATTTGCTTTGTTTCAGATGAATCTGGATCAAAAAACATTCTTTTATGTAATCCACTTGTAGGATCCATAATTCCCCTGCCTCCAACTTTAAGGCCTAGGCTTTTTCCTTCTATTGGTTTAACTATAACTAATACATCTATTGATTTAGCTGTAGCTGGAGATGACTTGATTTCTCCTTATGCGGTTAAAAACTTAACTACAGAGTCATTTCATATTGATGGTAATGGATTTTACTCAATATGGGGTACAACTTCTTCACTTCCAAGATTATGCAGTTTTGAATCAGGCAAAATGGTGCATGTACAGGGGAGATTTTATTGCATGAATTTTAGTCCTTTTAGTGTGCTTTCTTATGATATAGGGACTAACAACTGGTGCAAGATTCAAGCCCCGATGCGACGATTTCTACGTTCACCGAGCCTTGTAGAAGGGAATGGTAAGGTTGTTTTAGTTGCAGCAGTTGAAAAGAGTAAACTCAATGTGCCAAGAAGTTTGAGGCTTTGGGCATTGCAAGATTGTGGGACAATGTGGTTGGAAATAGAAAGAATGCCACAACAATTGTATGTGCAATTTGCTGAAGTGGAAAATGGACAAGGGTTTAATTGTGTTGGACATGGTGAGTATGTGGTGATAATGATTAAGAATAATTCAGATAAGGCATTGTTGTTTGATTTTTGTAAGAAGAGATGGATTTGGATTCCTCCTTGTCCATTTTTGGGAAATAATAATATTAATTTGGACTTTGGTGGTGGTAGTAGTAATAATTATTGTGGAGAATTTGGAGTTGGAGTTGGAGGGGGAGAGTTGCATGGATTTGGTTATGACCCTAGACTTGCTGCACCTATTGGTGCACTTCTTGATCAGTTGACATTACCCTTTCAGTCATTCAACTGATAGTTAAACTGTTTACAAGTGGGGTATCAGTAGTACTAGTACTATGAATAGTTTAATTTGGTGGTTAATTAATTGTATTTTAGTGTTTAATTATCTAGTAATTAACTAGTGTTTTTATATTAGTATGTGTTTAGTATGAAGTTTAATTTGTACTCTACTACTGTTGGTTGACTTATTAATATGAGTTTTTACATTGATTTGTGCTTATATATAGTTTACTTAGGTATCTTTTTTGACTTCTTTTGAAAACTAGTACAAAGTAGAAAACCCTAATAATTAAAACAAGAAGAATATCTTTATATTGTCAATTTAACGATGATTTTCTTAGCATCATAGAGTATTCCACATATTTTTTGGTTAATATAACCATGAGTGTGCGTATAATGACGATGGAAACAATAATAATATATTAAAAAAATGAATTTTCTCAGCTGTAGAGAAAAAAAAGTAAGTAATTGATTTTTACACTACACAGCTATCTTACAAATCTAATTTTTAATTTTATGCAAATTTTAACCAAGTATATAATGGATAATCGATATATAATTAGTTTATTATACAAGCTAAAAATTGTTAGGATCCCTCGTTTTGAACTGATTCCAAATCATATTTTTTGCCACGTGGAATATACTAACCTCATTTGCTATAAGAAAGTTATTTTCAAAGTTATAAATGAAAATTAGCTCGTGGTCGATTAGTTAGTTCTTCTCTTCAAATAAGTGAAAGTCTGAAAAAAGAAGTAAAAGTTGTTCATTTCATATTTTTTAAGAGTGAGAACAAAATCAACTATCATGCAATTGGATGTTAAGGTTAAAATCTACATAAACTCTACCATTCTAAAACCCTTCTTATAAACTTCACTAAGTATGTTGTTATATATGTATTGAAAGAAAAAAAAATTACTAATTACTTGTGCGTTTCACAATGAATAAACAAATGAATTTGCAAACAAAACAAGTTTTACGAATTTTCTTTTGAAATTTGAAATTTTCTGTTGATAGATTGTAACTTGAAACATAACTCAAGTTGTGAGCTAAACAAAAGGCATAATTCATAAATATACACTCAAACTAAACCTCATCTAGCAAGTACACACTCCAACTTTGAGAGTGCACATAACTCGAGTTGTGATCAGAGGGGTATATCAAAAGAACCGGGAGAGGAACGACCTGTATAAGTGCCAAAAAGAAATAGATCAATCAATGAATTACATCTCAATACCCAACTAGTTGGGATTAGTTATATATGAATTGTTATACGTAGTCTGCCCTACATGGCACGAAAATTTTTTTAGGATAAAGGAAAACAAAAATGATAGCTAACTTGTACAGTATAATATTTTTTGCTTATAGCTTACACTGGACAAACTGGCTCACGCTACACTGTTCTTGTTCATTGTACAAGAATCATCAGACAGCAGATGCTACTTGATTGGATTGCTTCCTTTTCTTGTTCTTCCTCCGATGCGTTTTCCCTTTCTTCTTTGAAGGCGCTTTAGATGGCTTTTGTTTTATGCTGGCTTCCTCATCAGAGGGGGCGTCACTCAAGGAACCCTCCTCATCATCAGAACTGAGAATAAAATCCTCTACAATGTCTTCGTCAAAGGCAGTTTCATCTTGCTGATCCTTACTTCTCTTCTTTTTCTGTTGTTTCTCCTCTGTAGACTCCTCATCCCTGCAAGGAATCATACCGGACAAATACATTCATATACACCAACAAAAGAAAGATAGCTTGTTGATCCCCCCGTCAGGTCTCAAGGGTTCTTTTCCTCTTGAGGAGGGGGTTATAGGTGGTGGGAATAGGTAAGTGGTGAAGAAGAATGTGAACATACTTGGGAGTGCCTGCAGGTAGCCAAGAAGAACTGAAGACAGCATCACCTTTGCTATCTTCACCATCATCATCTTCATCACTTTCAGTTATCTTACTCCCGAAGGCAGATGAATCTTGGCCAACGAGTATACTGCAGATAAACAAGTTCATTACTTTATGATCAACAGAAAGATCGTCTCCAGATAAAAATCCTAAGAAAAATAGAGTATTGTGAAACCTGGATTCCTTTAATGAATCACTTCTCTGTTGTGCTCTCTGTCGGAGACTAGCAACATATTTTGAAAGAGGACTCACCCCTGCATTCTTATCATCCTAAGGATGAATATGAAGGTCAGAATTGTTTCAAGGGAACCAAATCATGAAAGATGATGACATGGATTAATCCTAGACACACAAATCTCTATAACACCCCAACCTATTCATCTTCATCAGAAGGATGCTTTGACAAGTGGACAAAGCTTTCAATGTGTTCCTTACTAACAAACGAAGATAACAAGTATAGGTTGGTTGAAAAATGAAAGGTGATTTACAGGAATATTACTGGTAAATGGGAAAGATAAACATCAGGATGTTCAAACCTCAAGAAAAGATGCTGCCGCTGGGTCATTAGGCAGAAATGAAACTGTCATGCGCTTCTTATTTGTGTACTCCGAATTGGCTTCAATCTGTAGATTTACCAAGTCAACTTCAGGAACTTATAACAAAGGCTTCTTTTCAGAAGAAACAATTGGTGCCAGCTAACAAATAGCCCATAATAGAGACTAAAGAAAACTATGCAACTATGCAAAGTTAGATATCCCAGAATCGATACTACAGAAGATCTTTTGAACTCAGAAAACTATGCAAAGTTATTAATGCAGACATGTAACTTGAGAAAATAATCCAGTCATATCACCAAATAGAATCAAGTACCCAACAAACATACCTCGCGAATAATTTGCTTTATTTCGCGACGAAATCTATCGACATTGGTGGACTTGCAGAAGTTGCGTAACCTAACAACAGGGACAGAAGAGAGCTCAAAGAAACCAACTGAGTAGCTCCATTGAGCAAGATGCTCAGCAAGTTCCTCAACCACAGAAAACACACATGCTTCCTGAAATGCTCTCGTTTTCAACGTAAGCTTGCTAACCTGATACATCAAATATAGATTCAGACAACCAAGACAAGTTCTTATAAAGCAGTACACTATTAAAGTAAGTGGAGAGGCATTCTGGAAGTACCCTTAAAACAGTACGGAAATCTATGGCTTTTCCAACTCCCCCTGTTGGAGGCCTATGCAATTCTTTTATTTCCAACATGTCTAAGAGGAGAGGGGAAACAGGAACAAAAGAATTGGTGGATGCAGCAATTCTGTTGAGCATTTTGATGCATCGCAATCTAAGGGGAAAATAGCGAGCAGTTGGAACCAAACGAGCTGCTCCAGAAATTATTTGCGTCAGCGGATAAGCCATGGGCCTAAACTCAGGTTCTGAACTGTATGCACAGATAGCTGCAGTCCAAAGCTCAAGACAATGTATATACTTCCACTGGTAAACCTTCAGAAATGATTCCTGAGAAGGATTGAAACCGAAGAAACTGTGATTGGATCCCCTAAAAGGCAAATATAACGATGAAAAGATATACAATATGCGCATGATACTGAAGCAACATAACACACTGTCACTTTATGATCAACTTGACACTCAAAGCTACTTTGTCTCTTGAAAATTACAAATGAAGGCTAAAATGCATTTTCTCAACTCTTAAAACCAGAATATTCTACCAGAACTTAGTTGACTAAAAGAGAGAAAGTTAAAAAGATCACATTTTGGTAACCATAATCCAAAACAAATAAAAAGGCGACAAGTTAAGAGTCAAAGTACCTTGCCCTTGGTATTGTGTGCTTCCTTGGATGATTGGTTAGCCTTTTGAGACGGTTTCTAGAAAAGATTAGATAAAGGGATAACAATAATTAGCATTCAGCGGCCACTAAAAGGCAAGGATAACTTTCAATAGGATAAGATACTACCAGTAATGTAAAATGCTGAAGCCACTTGATACTCTTTGAGCATCTTTTCAAACGTGAAAATATGAATTAAGCTAACATGTATGTTGGAACTCTTAAGCCAAGCATTCTTCATCTAAAGTTATTTAAAAAAAAAAAGAGAAAAACTGCTACACAAGATACACTTTTAAGTTTTACTCCTAAAAGATTTATAGAGTAAGCATATATCAGTGGTTGGTAACAAATAGTCGGAAAGAAGACAAGTTATCAGTAACAAAATAACAAACCTTGGTCTTAGTACTACTATGCGCATCCCGTAAAATCATTGCCAACTGCCGAATGAAAACAAAGGCATGCTGGTATGCATTGGGAAGATCCACCCTAAGGAGTTCAACGAAACAATTACCAAGAAATTGAATATGCTGCAGCTTTGACGCATTCATGAATTGGCAGTTCAATAAATAAGCTTTATACATCCCTCTAATGCACTCGTCAATGCAATCAGAGCCAAGCTGTATACACAGATCCCTTAGAAACAAAAAAGAGACAACTGGTAGTGCACCTCCACCTGTACCCCAGAAATGAAGAAGAACCTGAAAAGTCAAATTATGCTTAAGCTTGATTCTTTTAGACAGTGTGAAGAATATCTCATGCAGAGAACAAAGAACCATGTGACTCATGTATTCTGAAAAACAGAGAAGTCTAAACCGAGAGTGCTTCACAATTATTTTTAAACTTAATTCTTATGGATCTTAATTCAATGAATTTACTTTGTTTGTGATAGTAGGAAATAAGCAGTGTGCGTAGTTTGAAGTGATCAAGGACCAAATGCCATGTCATTCAACTGTCAGATATAAATTTCATAGCACTGATATAGAAAACACTTAAAAGACCCCAATGACAAATTGAAGATAATTAGCTTTTGATAATAGCTGAAGCCTTGAAACAGCAAATAGCTTTACCAACTCACCCCTGCCCAAAAAGAGAGGGAGAAAGGATGAAACATGCAAATTTCTTGCAAATAAAGTTATATTCTAGCAGAAGAAAACTGTTGTTCTAGATTAATCATTCCTTTGTACAAGAAAAGAGTTATGTGAATTGTAAGTATTAGATCACTCAATCCCATACCTTTATATATTTCCTTAAAAGAACTGGAAAAGCAGCCAAAAATACAGATGAAAATCTGAGTCTTCGTAATGTAAATGATATCATTTCTGTATCTGTCATCTGATTTAGAACATGTAGCGCATTCCCAAGATATGATTTGACCAAGTGGTTGTTGCTCTTCCATCGTTTAGTTTTAGACATATCCTTTATCATCTCCTTCTTCCCACCAGAAGTTGGTAACTTCAACAGGCCACGAAGAATTCCATCCATTTCTTTTAGAACAAATAACATTATCTTGTTGAACACAGTGCTAGACATAGTACTCCACTTTGACTTAGCATCTTCACCAGTATCATCACCATAATGACAAGCCGTGCGGAAAGCTCTCATGAGAGACCTAATAGCCCCCGAACTCCTGTTTTCATGAATTGAACTACACCAAGCATCCACCATTGCAGTAGTGATGACATTTGTGGATGACTTGACCTCCTTTCCATCTGCATGAACAAGTTGTTCAGTGTCAAATTCATCAGCTTCATCATCTTCGATTTCCTCACTATCCATTTCAGTATCGGCATCATCCTTCACAAAATTGGAATAAGATTCTACAAACATTTCACATACCATGAGAACAATGAGAAGGGAAGATATTGTAAAGACTTACATCAGTATCCTCATCATCAAACTCTAGGAGATCCTTGTCATGCTCTTGCAAGAATTGATAGAACTCGGGATCCTACAGAAAAAAAAAAAAAGTGGCATATGCTGGGTTAAATAGATTTATCAGTAATCAGTACAAAAAATTATGGAATGAATATTTGCACCATACTACTCTTGCACTGACAATATCAAAATGTATAGCAGATGGATTACGTTGTTCAATGATACAAGCAGGCTAAATATAGGAATGAGTTATAGATGAATGACCTTAAACTCTGTAAGGAAACCTATCAAGATACATCTTTGAATCATATTATTGGCATTTGAAGAAATGATGTTGGGATTCTAATACTCTATTCTCTTGTACTCCACAAAGTACCATCTTGGTACTAATTCTTAATGAAATTTTATTTTATTTGATCAAATAATAAATCAATAACAGACAGACAAAATCGGTTCTTACAAAGAAAAACAAAGGCAATGATAGTAAGCAACTTGTTTGCTGCTTCTGACGCATATCTAAAAGATTGGCTGCTCATGTTTTTGTATTCCTCAAGTTTTTTCAGAACTTAACATAAAAAGTAAAATCATTCAAAAAGAAAGTACTAAAATACAGAACTGAAAGCACAAAAAGAAAGCAAAGGACTCATAGCCATGTCGACATAATTCTCACCTTTTCTTGGAGTCTTTTCAATTGCTCCGCATGTCCTCCCACATTTTGCTCTGAAGATGACTTGGACATCATTTCATCTGTATTTTCTTCAACCCCAGAAGATTTTTTGCTCAATTTCTTCGATTCTGACATGCCCAACCAAAAAAGAAGAAGAAAAAAATAGCATAAAACAGGATGTAAAACAGGAAAGTGCGTTGAAAGAAAAACTGAAAAAAAAAAAAAAGCACCTTTGTTCTTCGTCCCCATTGATTGAAATTTGTAAGTTTCTTTTTCTTGCTAAAACCCTATGATTTTTGCTGCAGGGTTTAGTGTTCTGAAGATTTTTGCTCCATATCGATAAAGCTGGATAGATGAAGAAGTTTGGGATTGGGCTTCTACAATTTGGGTCAAAAACTATAAAGCCCAATATGTTATTTCAGCTAATTACGTAAATGTCCCTTTTTTGACCATTATTTAAATTTTGTCCATAATTTGAAAAAAATGTGTAAATATGACTTTGGGGTGAACAACATATTAGACTTTTGTCCAACTTCTACATAAATTTAGATCATGTTCTAATATATATTTTTTTTATAAGGTTTTGAATTTACTCAAATATACCGTAATCAAAAAGAAATTACAAAAAAAATAAAAAATAGAAGAATCATTTACTAAATACTAGTTATTTCGAACTAGTCCCATTGCTTTGTAAATTTTTTTCCTTCTTGTTGGTCAAATAGAAGAAAGATATTTATATTGTATAATTTAAAATTTGTAACGATGGTGGAAAATATTTGTATACCATAATAGTAAGATAACCTACAAAAATAGTTAATTGTATATTGATAGTTCATTATACCTAAAAGATTTATAGCCATTTAAATTTGTCATTAAGTTTTATTTAGATATTTGGATTACCGTTTGTTCCATTTGAGCATCTAACTATCTGGTAAAGTGTTTCTATTGGACACTTTTGATTCAGATTTTTGAAAAAAATTTCATGCATTCTCAAATGCATATTACGTAAATAAGCTAATCATTTAAAAATGTCACCTTTAATTATACAATTTAGCTTTAATTAATCGTAAAACCTCAAACTTTTTTTAATCAAGAGACGTGATGTATATAATTATAGGAAATGACATATTTATAGTGGTTAACTTAACTACATAATAGACGCTTGAATGTATAAAAAATCCAAAATTTGAATTAAAAATATATATCTAATAGTTCAAATGTGTAAATGGAATTTGTGCTTAATTGAAACGGATCGTAGTTCACTACACGAAATTTATTTGCATTGGGTATGTAAGCCTTTTATTTTTCTGACCAGACGAAAGGCTTTGGCACTTTGCTATCTACTACCACCTACTACCCAATTGAAAAAGAGAATTTATAGAATGACCTACCTAGTGAACTCACATGCTTATTAATATTTTTTATAGTACACTAAGAAGTTCAAATAAAAAAATACTACCCCTTTGAATAGAAAAGATCCACCAATAAAAAAAAAAAAAAAGGACAAATGGCTAGCTAACTAGAAAACAGTACTACATTATAATTTATATATAGTGACCACCTTATCTTCAATTACTTCAAGCCAAATCCCAAACCAACCATGAAAAGAGCAAAGGTAGTGTTCATTTCAACACCAGCACTTGGCAACATTGTTCCAATTATTGAGTTTGCTAAACTCTTCACTCAAAAAAACAAAAATCTTTCAGCCACCATACTTTTAATTAACATCCCTCAAAGACCACTTGTCCAATCATATATTGACTCTCTCACCACCACCACCACCGGAAACATCCATTTCCTCTCCCTCCCCGTGGCGGATCCACCGTCCCTAGATCAATTTGAGGCCACTATAGGCTTTTTATCACTATTGATACAAAATCACACGTCACAAGTCAAAAATGCACTTATTGACCTTATTTCAGACTCAGACTCGAACTCAGGGCAAGTTGTTGGATTCTTTATTGACATGTTTTGTACATCTTTTATTGATGTTGCCAAGGAACTTAACATCCCATGTTATCTCTACTTTGCTTCCCCTGCTACTTTCTTGAGCTTTATGTTACATCTCCCAATTTTAGATGCTCAAGTTAGTACTAATATTGAGTTCAAAGATTCATCCAATGATTTCAACATTCTTGGTTTTTCCAATCCTGTCCCTATTAAATGTTTCCCTTCATTCATGCTAAAAAGACATAGAGATGGTTACTCTTGGTTCCTACATCATGCAAAAAGGTACAAAGAAACAAAGGGTATTATTGTCAACACATTTCAAGAACTTGAACCTTTTTGCTTAAACTCATTAGTACATACTACTAGTCATGTTGTACCACCAATTTATCCAATTGGACCAGTAGTGGATCATAATGGACCAGCTCAATGGCATCAAGATTCTTGGGGTCATGAAAATGTTATGAAATGGCTTGATAATCAAGAACCATCATCAGTAATTTTCTTGAGTTTTGGAAGTATGGGAAGTCTTAAAGTTTCACAAGTGATAGAAATAGCAAAAGGTTTGGAGAAAGCAGGACACCCTTTTTTGTGGGCAATTAGAGAAGCACCAAAGGATAAAAGAGAACTTCCAAATGATTATACAAACTTGGAGGAAATTCTACCTAATGGGTTTTTAGAATCAACAAAAGGAAAAGGGCTAGTGTGTGGGTTGGTCCCACAAGTTACAATCTTGGCCCATAAGGCTATTGGAGGATTTGTGTCACACTGTGGTTGGAATTCGATTCTTGAAAGTTTATATTATGGAGTGCCAATTGGTACATGGCCATTATATGCAGAGCAACACTTGAATGCATTTGAGTTGGTGAAAGAGTTGGATTTGGCTGTGGAAATCACAATGGATTATAGAGATGGTACAGCATTGGTTTCATCAGAGGAAGTGGCAAAAGGGGTTAAAAGATTAATGGATGGTGATGGTGATGGTGAGGTGAGACAAAGGTTTAAGAAAATGAGTGAGAAATGCAAAGATGTTTGGAAGGAAAATGGCTCATCTTCTAATTTTCTTGCACACTTGATTGATGAATTAATGGCTGTGATTTGAAGAAGGGTTAGCTAGTCCGACTTGGTGGGCTTTGTTTGACTACAAAATTTAGTAGAAACTTATAAAGAGATGAAAATAAAGTTTACTTTATGGTAACTCTATCTAATTATGTAATTTTGGATTCAAAAAAATAATAATCAAAGTTATGATTATGAAGCACATCAATAAAACTTTTATTTTCTAAAAGAGTGAGTAGATGTAGATTCTTTTCTTGTAATAAATGATTGATCTCGATTGGAATTAGTAAGAATATTCTTGATAGATTTACCATATTTTTCTTTAAAAAGACAAACACTTCAAAATTATATTTTTTTATATATCAATTCAAGAATAAAAGAACGGCATTCTTAATTTTTGTTTGTTGTGCGAATTAGCTTAATCTCGAAAATAGAGTTATTATTTATTCTTCCGTTTAAACATAAGAAAATTCCAACCATCTTCAAGAAATGTATTGACATATCTCTACGAAAAATAAGTTACATTTTGAATGTCTTACACTACAATCATTCCTTGTTCTAACAAGTTATATCAAGGGCTTCAAGGCTACCAATTCTTGAGGATGAAATTTGGGATATGGTATATGATAACTTCCCCAAACTCAAATTCTTGAAATTATGTGATGCCCTCGTTATAAATCGAACTACTTCAAGCTGATTCTTTTTTGATCCTCGAGAAAGTTTTAATAAAAATAAAATTTCAACGTCAAATCAATTAATTTCAAATCATGTCCAAACAAACTCTAAATTTGACAGTACTGGCTATATATTAAATATTTTGGAAAAAAATGAATATAACTTAAATAGTACTAGGATGAAACTGGCTACCAGACGCAATTCCGGCCTACCCGATCCGATCCGACCCGTATAAAAAACTTGCGCAAAAAGACTAGCTTCACTCTTCGTCTACATAAAGAGGAAAAAACCTCTCGACCCTTTTCATTGCGCTTCTCTTTAGATCTCACATCTCAGGTATCTTTCCATCTCTTCAAATGGCGTTTGTTTTTCTATTACCGATGCTTTGATCGATATAAACCCTCCCCCTTTCCCCAATTTCTTAGTATTTTCTTGATTGTCTTGATTTTTTTTTGTTGAACTGAGTGATGGGTTTGTGTTATTCTATTGATAAGTAAATTAGTTGAACTTCTTGGTTTATGTTTTTAAGAAAATGTATGGGAAATTTGGATTTTTTGTGAAATTAGAAAGAGGGTTTAGTGTAATTGATAGCAAGTATAATTTATCCCTTGCATTCACTTTTTCCCCTTAATTTTCAAATTTTTTTGATAGGAAAAGTAAATATTGATAATTTAGGACAAATATTTTACTAGTAGGTGCCATAAGTTCGTCTCTATAGCAGCTCTTGTTGTAAATAACTGTTTTAAAAGGAGTCAAAATTCTTTAAGATGTACAGTGGGAACAATTTGGCTTTTGGGTGTCACTAGTTAGGAAAGTTGGGTGGATATATCTGTTGTTTATGAAGCAGAAGTCGCAGAACACGACTAGGGGTGTTTAAGAAAACTTAAAGGGACGTATGACCTGATTTTTTTTACTGCTGCGTGGGAGCTCTCCCACCTTTTTGCTCCGTTGGTGACTCAAACCCCAACCTTAAGGTTGGAGGTGGAGGGTGATTACCATGTGAGCAACCCGTCTGGTCGTATGACCTGATTTATGTAGTTATGCCATGGTCTTTTTGGTGTGTATTTGAAAAGATAAATCACAGCACCACCCAAGTTATAGGAGGGTTTTGAATGACATAACCAATTTATAAAAAATTCTTCATTTGGAATGTCCATTGAAGTACTCTCTAGGATGGCTTTGAGTGGAATTCATGTATAATGTATTGAATAACTGTGCCGACCTCAGTTGGAGATTCAAGTGTTAAAAAGGAGAGAGATCTAGTTAGTGTTTGTCTACATTGATTCTTCACCTTGTAGTAAACAATAGTTCCTTAGCAGTTAAAGGCATGTTTAATCTAAGTTGTAGGATTGCTGCAGTGTTTACTGAGTTTTAATACTATACCCACTTAGCTTTGTTAACTCTCGATTTTATAGTTCCTTTCTTTATAACTTCTTTTTGAACAATGCTCAAGTTCTTGTGCCAATAAGGGAGTCCCCTGCCGAAGTATTAGATTTTTATTGGAATATAAGGAGTGAAAGTGTAAATGTACCAAACTTTAGCCTTAATCTACAGAAACCTAATATAAGAAGATTTCTGATCCTGACAGCTAATAGTTTACCCTAGCTGCCTTAAATCACTTCTTACAATTGGTCCTTTTTATTATCCTCTGTTCACATTTTACAAAAAAAAATAATCTTGGAGCAACCCATCACCAATCTCTGGTAAAAATATGATCTTTTCTTAATTGAAATCTAGGATATATTAAACCTTGGATCACATTGCTCCTGATTTGTTTTCTTGAGAAGTCCCCTCCTTTTTTGTACCAAGTGCGAACTGTATTCTGTATCCAATTAGTATACAATTGAGCAACTCTTAAAATCTTTTGGTTTCAAATTGCAAGAACTGAAGCTGACACTGGTGGTACTAGCCTCCAGTCTGCAATTGTATTTATCTTACTCTAGTAGGCAAGCCACATCTTAGCGTTTCAAGTAAGATTTACGACAAAGTGATTTGTCTTCTTTGCTTTGGCTACTAGTAAAATGCTACCAGAACCTACCAAATTCATGTCTTCCCCACAAACAATTTTCCCTCCAAGTTTTTCACATTTCCTTCTGGAACTTCATACGCAATAATGCAAGTGCGTTTTTCTTCTTCTTTTTTATTCAAATCCTAAGAAGTTGCACCATAAATTCTGTTATGTCCCCAGTCGTATTTCCTTTTGGCTCTTTGCCCTCACTTGGATAGTCTCTTTCATCTGCAACTTGCATTGTGATCTTGTTGCCCACAATGGCCTTGCTAATGATGCCCTTTTCGACAAACTGGACAGTATTTTCAGAAGGTTCCTTTTCTTGTTGGATCTCAAAAGGTGCTGGACTTGATGAAAATAATCCTCCTAATTATCATTGTTTAATCTGTCATTAGCTCTTTTAGCTTCCCATTCTGTCTTGAGTTCCCATCGTTATTGAAGTGAAAGTGGTAAGCCAGCTGCTTTGGTTGGTACCACTAAGAAATTGAACAGTTTGATGCCTATCAAAATAAAAAGGAAAGAATAGACTTGTTATTTTCTAAATCTATAGCAGATAATATAGATTGACTGACACTGACCTCAAGTTAGAAGAAAAATAGAAAAGAAAACTCAGCTCTAACTAATGATTTTTATACTTGTTATCTTCTGGCAATCCTTGTTGCTGCTCCTTATTTAGCTAACTGCATATTCAAGTTTTTTTCAGTTAAAATTTCTTCTCTCTATATGTAATTCATTCACATGCCATATGACCCTTAAATTTGGAATGCTAAACTGCCCCTTTTAGTTTGTTTCGAGAAGCACAGAGAAGGGTTAGCAGTTAGCACACTGAAACATTTTTTTATGAGATAAGGAATTTCATTAAATGACATCATGAAGTGTTAGCTCCAATTCATTTTTGGGTATGTATTTTGCACTACTTGGTATATATTGGACTATGCCAAACTCCTGATTGATCTGCTGCATAGTTTAAACACAGCGAGGGTCTCAAAAAAAAAATCCCAAAAAACTTGGAATACTATTTCTCAGGCCATTTGGTGGACAGTTGGCTTGAAAGAAATATTCTGCTATTTCTTCTTCATCAAAAAGAAATAGCAGAATTTTTAAGGCAAAAGAAGAAATATACTTAGCCTTAAACACAAATGTTTTTATTTGCTAGCTTTTTTGTGAAACCTGGTTCTTATACATGATGTAGATGCAATGCTAGATACAATTGAGGAGTTGCACCTTCTTTATTCATGCATTTGCTTAGTGCAAGCTCATCTATAAAATCTCTTATTACCAGTATCACTGTACACACACTTCAAATGTCCACAAGTTTATCCATACGGGTGGGAAGTCCCTGAGGTTGTAAGTCATGACAATTTTCAACTTCAACTCGTATGGGGACTTATATATTGTTTTGACTCAGTTTTGCATCTTTCTTTCTTTTGTGTTCGCGTACATGCTCGTTAGTTAGACTTATTCAGGGGAAGGGTAAAAGAAATGAACCATGTTTCATGTGCTTTGAAATTTTTATCTAACTAGCTTGAGTTATGTAAATTTATTCAGGTATACTGCAGTTAAGAAAAAATGTCACGAAGGTATGATAGCCGTACAACAATCTTCTCCCCAGAAGGTCGTCTCTACCAGGTTGAGTATGCAATGGAGGCTATTGGAAATGCAGGTAGTGCTATAGGCATCTTGTCCAAGGATGGGGTGGTGTTGGTAGGTGAAAAGAAAGTAACATCTAAGCTGCTTCAGACCTCAACTTCAAGTGAGAAGATGTACAAGATTGATGATCATGTGGCGTGCGCTGTAGCTGGAATTATGTCTGATGCCAACATACTGATCAACACGGCCAGGGTTCAGGCTCAGCGCTATACGTTTGCTTATCAAGAACCCATGCCAGTTGAGCAACTTGTTCAGTCACTATGTGACACCAAGCAAGGTTACACACAGTTTGGTGGGCTTCGCCCTTTTGGTGTTTCATTTCTCTTTGCAGGTTGGGATAAAAACTATGGCTTCCAACTTTACATGAGCGACCCAAGTGGAAATTACGGTGGTTGGAAAGCCGCAGCAATTGGAGCAAACAACCAGGCAGCTCAATCAATCCTTAAGCAGGATTACAAGGATGATATCACAAGGGAAGAGGCCGTTCAACTTGCTCTTAAAGTGCTTGGTAAGACAATGGATAGCACTAGCCTCACTTCAGAGAAACTTGAACTTGCTGAGGTATTTCTCTCTAATGGGAAAGTCAAGTATCAAGCATGCTCTCCCGAAACTCTGAACAAAATGTTGGTGAGTGCCGGACTGACTCAACCTACAGCAGAAGAATAGTCGAAGAATGTCTTTTGATCTAGCATATGACATCATTGAACTCTCTCTACACCATGTGTGACATGTTGTACTAAAACTAAGTGGTGGATTTGTGTCTTATTACAACTGCATGCATATTTATGTCATATGCTCTCCAGTTTGAATTTTGTTTTGGATTATTTCATCATTTGTTGGTATCATGGTACTTTACTGCATTTGACATGTTTGTGCCTGTGTTTGCCTGACAAAGAAAAGAACAGACAACATACCCTCCATCTTCCTCTTTTTTAACTTGATGCAACTACAGTGGGAGGGTGGAGAAGAAGGCGAGATCTTTTCATCTTGTAGCTATCCATTTTAAACATTATTTCCTTCCTCCCACCAAGTTCCACTAGTAAACTATTTAGTCCTCTAAAGCCCTGAGGATTATGGTTATGTAGTGGTGATTATACCAAAGCAGAAGGTATGATGATTATTCAGAATGGAAGGAATTAGTGCAAGTAGAAGGTATGCTTATCATTTTTAAGGTCTTGGATATATGTTTTAACTTATGTGATTGCATGAATGTCTATACATAAAGCTTATGTTTACTCATTAATCAATACCTCTCACAAAAATGTAAAACTGATCCTTTGGACATAATCAGATATTTTCTTATCATAATAATGTTAAATATTACTATTTACAAATACAGAAATATATACAAAGTGTCAACTCCTGCATGCTCTCAATGTCTATTTGTTGAAATTTTCTAAGGATTTGCCTTTAGTGAAAACAGATTCCATTTCTTCCAAAGACTTTCCTTTAGTCTCAGGGCACATGAAATAGAAGAAAATCAAAGCCACCAAAGAGACTCCAGCAAACATGAAAAAAGCACCTCCAGTTGTAATTGCTTCAGAAATGGACAGAAAACTCATAGAAACAGTAGCATTCATCAACCTGTTAACAGCAACACCAATACCAGCACCCAATGCCCTATACCTTAGAGGAAATATCTCAGTACTATAAACCCAAGTAACTGGACCAAGACCAATATTGAAAAACATCACAACTGCATAAGTTGTAACTATACTAAGTACCAAAGCCCAAATGAGTGTCCCACCAGAATTCTCTGCAATTGTCAAGAAAAAACCAAGTCCAGCTAATGTCACTACCATACCACTTAAACTTGTTAACAACAATTTTCTTCTCCCAACTCTGTCAATCAAGAAAGTAGATAGCACTATAAATGTAAATTTTGTTAGTCCAACTCCAACTGTGGCTAGTATTTGCTTCCTAGTGTCATGTACACCTGCTTTCGCGAAAATACAATTCTTTCCAAACCCCATGTGTTTGTGCTGATTCAGGAACCTTAACAATGTCATCGTTACAATTCTCATCGATTCCTACAGCCTCTTTAATATCCCTGAGGCGAATTTCAGCTTCTTGAGGGGAATTAGAAACTTTGTACAATATTTTCTTGGCTTCTCCTACACGGCCTTGCATAATAAGCCATCTAGGAGACTCTGGCATTTTAAGAATGCCAATCGCCAAGAAAAGTGAAGGAATTGCTGCAATTCCCAACATTATTCTCCAACCAAGTTCAAGGTATAATCGCGAAAAAATGTAACTAGATAAATAACCAAGTAAAATACCAATACTTATTCCGATTTCTGGTAGAGATGTTAAAAATCCACGTGACGATGGTGATGAAACTTCTGCTGAATAAATAGGTGCTATCATAAGTGCAAATCCAACACCAACACCAGCAATACATCTTCCAACTAATAATGCTATATAAGATGGACCATATCCCATTAAAATTGATCCAATCATGAAAATTACTGAAGCTACCATTATAGTGTTACGTCTTCCAATTTTATCAGATGTTCTTCCAGCACAAAGTGACCCAACTAAAGCACATAAATTTAGAATCCCTGCTAATATTTCTGTTTTGGCATCATTGATTTGGAATTCTTTTTTCACATATATCATTGCACCACTCATCACACCAGTATCTGACAAAATAAAAAACATAAAATTATTGTTAGAATATATTCACACTATACTTTTTCTTTTCTTATCAATTATATACTCTCCCTTCGTTCCCATTTATGCAGCACAATTTGACTTGACACAAAGTTTGAGGGATAAAAATGACTTTTAAAATCTATGGTCTAAAACTCCCATGTACCATTTTAAAGGGTAAAAAGAGATTTCTAAAGCAGAATTGTTTTCAATTATAGAAACGTGACATTTTTTATAAAAATGAACTAACAAAAAGTATGTCACATAAATTGAGACAGAAAGAGTAATTAATAGTAACGACGCAGTTACGATTAAAAGATATTTACACAATCGTAAGCCGTTGGCTCGATAATTCCTTAACATGTGAATGTAGAACTTTTTTCATCATAAGGAATGTTTTAGCTCCTTAATGAACTATCTAATATGAATTTAGATTAATCAAGCCAGTAAATTTAGAACACAAAAAAAAAAGGAAAATTTGAAGTAATGAAGAATAAAACTTACCATAACCAAATATGATAGATATCATAGAAGCAACAATTGCACAACCACATGCATATTTGTTAACCTTTGTAGGATTTTCTCCATTATCATTCTCCATATTTTCCCAAAATGCAATAAGCCTAAAATAGAAACTGGAGTTTGTTTTTATAAATAAATCCTCCAAATAAGATAGTAAAAGTCTATAATATATATTCAGATATCTATAGTCAAAAAACAAATCCCATTTCGATTCTAGCTATTGTCTGTTTTCCAAAAAAATGTACATAATTTGTAAAGAATTAATACTATGTGGATAATAATGATAAGAATTACAAGTCACAGATGAGTCCTAATTGTAGGATTGAACCTGTGACCCTCCATATCCAACGCCGGCTTTATATGGATAGCATTGATATTTATTCGTGGCATTCGAATCAGTTTGTATATAAAAATTTGATTGTTATATTGAATTTATGTTAGCGATGACTACCTAATTTAAAGCTGATTAGATCAATATTTCAGTTTTTATTGTTGATCCATTATACATAGAAATTATTATGAGTTCAAACTTTTATATAGTTTGTTGAAATTTTACTAATATTTTTACGTTATCTTTGTCTAGCGATATATGTATTTGAATAAAATTGTGCTCTCACCATGACTTATTAAGCGTATGTGTAGAAATTGGAAGAATTTTTCTATAGGCTATAAGTATGTATTTCGTTGACGTATAATTATTTTTTATCTTATATATGAAGAAGGACGATGATTATAAAAGGAAATAAAAAATAAGAATAATACCTACAAATAAGAAAATTTGGTAATGTACATTAAAAGAGAGATATGACTATACATTAAGCAGAAAATAACATCAGCGAAATAATTCGATTAAGTGAGCAAAAATATTACTTAAGTATAGTGAGTTATTTTGTCTGTGAAATGATAAATACAGGATAAATAAAATCTTTGTACCTGAAATAACATAAATAAAGTAACTTTTTTTAATTACAAAACTAAAAAGTAATTTGCCTATCTAATTTATTAGTTGAAGTAACTTTTAGGGTAATTAGCTCAAAAGCAAATTTTAAGGAGTGGTTTGGCGCTATGTAGGTATTTATTATATAAATTTTAATTTTTGTTATATTAATTTATCTTCCATAAAAATTTATAAACTCTTTTATAATATATATATATATATATATGAAAGCAAATTGTTAATCAAATACTGTACTTGATGTATAGAATTTTATAAACAGCAACTAATAAGTTGCTGTCAAATATGATATTAATTATACTTCTTTTAATGCAAGAATAAATCAATTCATGACTAGCAAGCAGCAACAAAACAACCCCACAATATAGAGGCCAATTACTTTTAATTCCATAATAAATATTCCTTCAATTTTTATTTGTTCAATTTAAAAAGTTTAAAAATTATTAATCACTTAATTTCTAATTTATCATTATTATTAACTATAGTCATTTCTTAATTATTTTAAACTCAAAAAGTGAGATCGTAAAATTATCATTCTATTTTTTAATTCTTAAGAAATATATCAAGTCAATATTGAACAATTTAAAATAAATAAATAAATAAAGGGAGTATTTGTCAATTCACAAAATAAAGATAGAATTAATTAATTATTTCCTCATTTTGCCCTTAAAATTAATTATTTTTGAAAGTATAAATAGTACTTGTTCAAATTCTGATTTGATATACTTATTAAAAAAATTAAAAAATAATAATTGATGTATTGAGTTTACTATTTTAGTCCTAAGGTCTCAAACGTATTTACTCATTACATTTTTTATCAACAAACGGAAGGTATTTGACAAATAATCAACTGTATAATGGAGAGGGAGGGCGTAGTAGTTGTGCACGTGATGGTGGGCGTAGAACCATAAAACTGACACATGTTTTTAAAAATAAATCAAGAGAGAGGGAAGTATAGAACTATTCTTGTTTGGATCATCCGAATCTCAATCTCTGGCAATGGGTGAAGAGAAATGGTGTGTGGTGACCGGCGGAAGAGGCTTTGCTGCTCGACATTTGGTCGAAATGCTCATCCGCTATGAAATTTATCATGTCCGCATTGCTGATTTGGGGCCAACCATTAAACTTGAGCCTCATGAGGAAAAGGGTATTCTTGGAGAAGCCCTCAAATCTGGCCGTGCTCTATATGTATCCATGGATCTTCTTAACAAGTCCCAAGTCCTCAAAGGTTGTTTTCTTGAATCTTTTTTCAAAACTTTTTGATTCTTGAATGTGGGTGATTTGGTTTTATTACTTGCCAAGTGTTCAACGGTCTTTTCTTGAATCCTTAGTTGTTTTTGACACCCAAGAAACCAAAACTTTTTGATTCTTGAATAGGGGTGTTTTGGTTTTATATTAGTTAGTACTTGCCAAGTGCTCAACGATCTTTTCTTGAATCCTTAGTTGGTTTTGACACGACTTTTTTATTCTTGAATATGGTGTTATGATTTTATATTAGTTACTACTTGCCAAGTGTCCACAGGGGGAGAAATCACCTAGCATTTTTGTGTCTGCCGGGATTTGAACCTAAAACATCAAGATTCTCAACCCACGTCATTGACCAGTAGGTTACACCCTTGGGTGCTAGCCATAGTGTGGAATCAATTAGGTGGTGTTTAGTTCCAATTGTTTCCATATAAAGTAAGCCTTGTATCAGATACTTTTGCTGAATTATCCTAGCTAAATTTTTTCAAGATTCATCTTTTCTGAATTTAGTATTTGAGATGTTACATGGAGTATTCCTTTGCCTCAATGTACTTGTGTTAAATGAGTGTGATATGGCCATCAGTATTTCACATGAATCTTACAAGATGCAGACAAAGTTGATTTACCTGTACCCATATCTGTACTGGTTACTTGCTGGTATCCATGCCTGAGTCTTAAGTGACATAGGAGATAGACATTTTATGTCACAGCCAAATCATCCCAGCTAATGTTTCTAGACTCATGTTTCTAAGTGTAGTATTTGAGATTACTATGTGACATGGAGTATTCATTTGTTCTGAAGTATCTGTGCTTAATAAATGTGATGTGGGTATAAGTATTTCATGTATATCTTTCAAGATACGCTCGACATATAACTTCACGTACCCCTAACTACCTGTACCAAGATACTTATCGGTCAACATTTATGCCTGAGTCAATGTGACATAAGAGATAACCTATTTTATTAACTTGTGGTGTCTTAACATTATTTATTTGATATTTGCAGCTTGTGAAGGAGCTGAGGTTGTTTTCCACATGGCTGCTCCAGATTCATCGATCAACAACCACAAGCTCCACTATTCAGTTAATGTGCAAGGTATGGGAACGCTTTAAAAAATTTATCAAGAAAAAAAATGATCTCCCTAAATATACGTGAAAGTTTTAGTTCTCTCTTTTCAATCGCATAAATATACGTGAAGGAACCCAGAATATAATTGATGCTTGCGTTGAGCTGAAAGTGAAAAGACTTATTTACACCAGCTCTCCCAGTGTGGTGTTTGATGGAATTACTGGAATTCTAGATGGGGATGAATCACTGCCATATCCTGCGAAGGTAGTGCCTCTATCTACTTTGTTCTTCATTTGAATGAGAAATTATCCTCATATTAGGTTGGATGATAACCATACTCTTGTTACTGAAAAAATTCAGCATAATGATTCCTACTCTGCAACTAAAGCTGAAGGAGAGGCACTTGTTATGAAGTCAAATGGTACTAAAGGGCTGCTGACATGCTGCATTAGACCTAGCAGTATTTTTGGCCCTGGTGATAGGTTGCTAGTTCCTTCACTAGTCGCAGCTGCAAGGGCTGGAAAATCTAAGGTGAGTTTAGAGCCTCATTTTGTTTGCACATGCATCTTTCAAGTCCGTGTAACATTCGTATTATATGCAAGCCTTTAGATATGAAACTAGACATAAATACTATAGGTTTACTGTTGTAGTACTTGTAAGCTTGTAAGCCATGATTAGAAACCTATCTTGAGGAACTTCATTAGTGATTTCTACATTCTCTTCCATGGCACAACAATTGGATCACTATTGGCATTTTTCGTGGACAAATTGAATTTAACCTAGAAGACTTGCACTATGTATTCAGTTGACTTTTAGCTTTCTTTCTCTAATTCTTAATTTTGCAGTTCATTATTGGTGATGGAAATAACCTGTATGATTTCACTTACGTGGAGAATGTGGCACATGCGCATGTGTGTGCGGAACGAGCTCTAGCATCAGGAGGAGCAGCTGCAGAGAAAGCTGCTGGGAACGTAATGTTTCTTTGTTTTTCCATATTCTGTATTTTTTGGATAATCTTAAATACCAGCAACTATACAGATCTGACCTGTCCAGATGCTTTAATATCAAGTACATTTCTGTTCTTCAAATTGTTTAAGTAGTGGCCTCAATGTATGGATAAGCAGTGCAATGGAGATTTTTGAGTTCCCATTCAAGTTTCATCTGTTTCTTGTATCCATCCTACATGATTGTGATATGTTTGTGAAAAAAGTGATTGACCTGATCCCATGCAGCAATAAAGCTTGAGCTACCTTAACAATCAAATATATAAATAAAGCTCGAGTTATATGGATTAAGTTTTACTTAAATGATGCTGAACTTTAGCTAGTGATGATTCCATGAAAAGCTGAATTCTCTAGGGGTTCTAACCATTTAAGATTACCAATTGTTGTGTTGCCATAAATTAGCTTTTCTTTCTCTAGAAGTAAGGATTCCCTGTTTTCGACTTCTCTCGCCTTCTCTTGAAACCATACCCTGAACACTAATTAGTGCAATCTTTATTTAGTACGTTACATAGAATTACCAAAAAGATTGTCCTTTAGCACAACCAACCAACAAATTTTTTGTATCTTAGTTCATAGATTTCAACAGTTGTTCAATGTTGACATACTTTGTATCTTTGTTGTAGAGTTGTCTGCACAATCTTACTGCTTACTGCTTACCTTTTGATTATAAAATTTACTTTACCGTTTCAAAATAAATTGTTGCTTAAACCATATTATGTCAATAACTAGGAGGGGTAACACTTGCGCATCCATTGCATTTGGGCCTACAGTTGTGCAGAAAACACTGAAATAAGAGCCACCTTGTCGGTTGTCCTTCTCTTTTTCTGGGCAAGGAACTCCACCATTGTGCGAAGTCATTATTCTCTCAGCAAGCATTCGAAAAAGGAACACCTCTCTTGTTTTCCATTTCTTTGCTAGTAAAAAAGGATAATTTTCTTCTCCCCACCCTCTCATCTCTCTGTGCTTCTTATATTTTAAGGGGTGGGGATTTGGGATAAAGCTAGACATCAAAATGATTGACATGCACTAAGCTTATGAGTACACATGTTTTCTTATGTCTCCTGGAGTCTCTGTGAAAAAAGGTTCTGCATGTTATGAGATTTATCAATTCTTAAACGCGGGTTTTCTTTTGACAAATCTTTGATCAATAAATGATCTTTCCAGGCTTATTTCGTCACGAACACGGAGTCCATTAAGTTTTGGGAGTTCGTATCACTTATTCTTGAAGGTCTTGGCTATGACAGGTATTCTCATTTTAAATTCTGAACTCTGAAAAGATTTCTTGCTCACAGTTATTCTTTTTAGCTGATACCTGAAACTATACTTACTAAATCACTTTATTTGTAATTCTGGAATAGAAATGTGATTACTGGAAAGGTTCAAGTTAAGAGATGAAGAAAACAGTATCCTTGGTCACATAGAAGAACTAGTGAGAAATTTCATAAACAAAATAGCATTAAAATTTTGCATTCATCCAGTACCCTCTTGAAATTAAAATTGAAGAAGGTAACTGTTAGAAAACTTTGGGACCTCGTGTTGGTTCATCCTGAGCAAGGAAAGTTTGTTTCTTAAATTTAGATTAAGAGCAGCGTTCTTCCATAATGTTTTCTTCTTTTCTCCTTTCTCCATGGATGGAGATGTTTCTACAGAACATGATTAATCAATTTAGGTTTGTTGCTGACAATCAAACTTGAGAAAAATATTCAGTTTGCTTGTCAGAAGAGCTATTTTAATGGGTCTGAATGTTTGTATGATAGAGAGAATGAGAGTTTGTAACTGTAGACCAACCCTTATATGATTCCTAGCCAATTGAGGCTGTGTATTCTTTACCAGTGGTATTTGGAGATACATATGATATATAGAGCGGTACTTGTCCATTAAAAGATATGTTTTATAAACCTCATCTCTTCTGAGAAGAAAAAGGGGTCCTACACCTCCAACCATAAAGTTGGTGGTTCTGAGTCACAGAGGAAGCAAAGATAGGGCCACAGTAGACTCCTGTGCAGGGTGCTTGCGTGAGGGATTACTAGACTAAACAATTTTTTTTAATTTTTTTTTTAGCATGATTTGTTGTTATGGAGCTAACATTTCCACTTTTTTAACCGTGCATGTCCTTGATGGAAAATCATTGTTTGCCTTATGTTCTTGTGGATAGCATCTGTCTTCCGTATCCCTTTATCCCGCTTCTTTTTGCTGTGAATTGTATGGATTCCTGATTTTAGTATTATGCAGGCCAAGTATTAAGATTTCTGCATCTGTTATGATGCCAATTGCACATTTGGTGGAACTGACTTATAAGCTGTTAGCACCTTATGGAATGAAGGTCCCACAGTTGACTCCTTCGAGAATCAGACTTCTCTCTATGAGCAGAACATTTAGTAGTTCAAAAGCAAGTGATCGACTAGGATACGCACCTATTGTCACACTTCAGGTTCCTGTTTTTCCCATTACAGTCAATCAATTGGTTCTCTGATAATTCCTCATAAAAATTGTTTAGCCATACCATGTCTATCTCAGATACTCCCAACCTTTTTAGGTACTGTTATGGTCTTTTCCTTATTGCCATACCTTGTGAATCTTTTCATGTGATAAAAATATGTTAAACTATTTTCTGCGAAATTGTATTATTTGCCTTTGATATTGAATACGAGAAAATAGTCATCCATCTGGATTTCCACATCATTACTGCAGGAATACACATATCTTCCTGTCAAATATGTCGTACATGTAACTTTCATCTTACACGAAACATTTCATATAAGATGATATTAGTGTGGGTTATATTTGTACCTTATATCTTCTACGAATTAAAACTACTATTTTTCTGTGGGGCCTCATCTTTTTACAATCTATTATTTTCTGCCATTTCTTTTTGTTTTTTATTCTCATTACATAATTCATTTAAGTTGTAAGGCGTGCCTCTATTTTCTTCAGGAGGGCATAAGGAGGACCATTGAATCCTATCCACATCTGAGAGCTGAACACGGGTCGGGAAAGGATGGTCCTAAATCATCTGCATCTCTTTTTAAACGGTTCTTCCTCCTGGTAATTACTAATACATATAATCCATTTGTTGTGAGAGCAAAAATGTGATAGACCCCTTACTATTTCATTTCAGAAGGTAATTCAAAGCCATGGTCATTACTCATATGGTTATGAATTGAATAGGCATGCCTTTTCTGCTAAGCTACATACGTACTCCAAGTATAATTATCATTTGAAATTTCTTACCTTTTCTTTTGGTCATCCAATCTATTTTACAGAACAACATTGTATGATTATGTCCAAGAATATTTGAACCTTGCATTTGCGACTCTTTAAAATAACTTTCATAAGTTTCAAGATTTCAAATTCATATAATAATGTATATTCAATCAGCAGCAGTGGTACTTTCTCAATCAAAATATTAATTAATCAATCCAACTACCTCTCAATTCCAAATTGCTTGAGATTGACTATGATGGTTTGGCCATGTCCATGGAGATGGAATCCATTACTTGCCATATATCAGAAGGAATGTTTTGTATCGTTATTTGATGATTACTAGTTACTAATTAAGATCAAGTGAAATGATACAGAATAAATTGTGAAATGTGAAATCTTTCTAATTATTCCTGCTCCTCTTGGCTAAAAGTAATAGGAGTAGCTATATTTGTATCATGCTGTGAACTCCCATTTTCATCTATTAAATTGTGTTATCTTTCGTCTGGCTGATGCAATAGGTGGTTTTCTCTCTATTAATTCTAAGCGTACTTGGGATCATTTCACCATGGAGTTTTTTCGTCATAGGTATGCACTCTGCTCTATCTCCTCCTCCTGTCCATATCATTTACGCTTGCTTGTAACATGGTCAAACACTATTGTGCCCAGAAGAGTTGTTTCTGTTTCTCTTCATAGCAGATGCAAATAACACTCCAAACAATGTAAGCCGGGATCCCATCTTCTGTGCTCTGACCTTCTCATGTTTGCTGCTGCAGGAATCTTAGCTGCCTTTGTTGTGTTCTTGATATTTGACAAAAGCAAGAAGAATTAGATCATTTAGTTCATGCAGAATTTGGTCTAGCATTGATGGGAGAACTTTCAACTCTAATAAGAAAACAACGATGGGTTATACTGCCAGGGCGTGCAACGTCACTCACTCGTTGGAGCCTCACTTGAGAGAAGTTGTGTTTACATCCTGGAGTTACTATATAGTAAGGTGCTTTTTACCAAGCCAGTTATTTTAGCTTTTGTTGTATTACCAAATATTGTTTGTTTTGGTACATTGGTAAAGAGTAGTAACTAAAAGTTTTTAAAACCTTTCATAAGCTAGGAATTCCTCACCCTGTCTCAATATCTATGACTTATTTCAGATCGTAAGTTTCAAAAGTTTTCTTTTTATTTCTTAAAATCAAGATCGCGTTCAAATTTAGACATTTTCCTAGAAAATATTTTCCTTTCATACTGAACACACCCTGAAAATGAGATTAGAAATAATGTGGTGGAGAAGAGCCCAGATAAAACGTGTAGGCAATGGTATTCTAGGTGGAAGAATTTTGAAACAATAGAAATACAAATTAAATTGAAATATTATCTAAAATTAGTTTTTTAAAAAAACCCAATAAGATAAGTGTAAGAAACTCACGTATTTTCCTAGAAAACATTTTCCTCTCTTTCGGAAAACACCCTGAATCTGAGCTCAGAAATAATGTCGTGGAGAAGAGCCCAGATAAAACGTGTACGCTATAGTATTCTAATCTTGGAACAATAGAAATACAAATTAAATTGAAATGCGTATCTAAAATAAGTGAAAAACTCAAGTAAATAATTAAGAACCCCACGTATTTTCCTAGAAAACATTTTTCTTACATATTGAACGCACCCTAAATATGATATTAGAAATAATGTCGTGGAGAAGAACCCATATAAACGTGTAGGCAATGGTATTTCAATTTTTAGTGAAAATTAATCAACGACAATAATTTAATTGACACTAAATATATTTTCGCAATTAACACTCTAGTAAATGTCCCTAAAACCTATAAATCTAATGACATAACTTATTGGTGAACTTTTAGCATTTCTTTGTTAGTACTGCATAGGGGCGAACCAAAAATCGAACCAAACCGCAAATTGAGTCAAACCGAAAAAAAAACTCGACTAGTGGTTTGGTGTTGAAAAAAAAAATCCGACTATATTTGGATTGGTTTGGTTTTAACTAAAAAAAACCAACTCGAGACCAAACTAACCCGACATTATATATGTAATTTTAAAATTTTATTTTATATATAAAAATATTTACTTTGATATAATTTTAAAATATTTCTTATACTATTTCATAGTTTTTATCTTTTAATATATTATTTCAAGTTTAAAACTTAGAATTCGGAACGGTCCAATAAAGATTATAGTTCATAGATGTTGATAATTATAATAAAACTTAAATCAAAATCAAATTAATACTAATGCAAAAATAAAATCAATTCAACCCTAAGAATGACAATAATATTGAATATTTGTTCTTTAGTTTTACATTGGTTTAGACAATTAAAATACATAATCTAATTTTAATTTTCCTTAAATATTTAGTAATGTAACTAATACTTATTAAACTTATTTTAGCATGATTTAGTACTTTTAAATTATGATCATTTTCATTATGACTTTGCAATATTTATTTTATATGATGATTTCATTATTATTTTTTATTGAATATTTTAGTGTCATCAGTACTCATCTCATATTTTGTGTTATCTTCTTTAGAAAAACCTTAGATAATTGTATTTTGGTTAGACGAAAGAAATATTTGGATCACAAGTTAATTATATGTTTGTATGCAAATTTTACCGAAAAAAATCTAGAAATCTGAAAAAATTCGAGGTTTATTAGTTTGGTTTGATTTACAAATTTAAAATTCGACACAATGGTTTGGTTTGGTATTTGAAAAACCCGAACCAACCCGAGGTTGAAAAAACCCAAAAAAAATCCGAATTTTATTAGTTTGGTTTGATTTATAAATTAATTTTTTTTTACACAAATAATTTGGTTTGATATTTGAAAAACCCTAACCAACCCGGTCATGTACACCTCTAGTACTGCATATTTATATGGGATGCGCAGTTAGTTATTAATAAATATTTATGTAACATTAAAAATAAAATATTAATTCTAATGGTAAACAATAATTATTTGAATTAAAAAGTGTCCTGTTTTGGACAAATTAAAAGGAAATACCATGGATATCATATCACTACCTATTCTAATTATTTCGACGTAAGTGCACATAGGTATTTGGACATACATTTGGTTAAAATTTGAAAAACACCGTTTTTTGTAGTTGAAATTTTAAAAATAATATTTAAAAGTTAAAGTTATGTTTGGCATTGAAAAAAAAGAAGTCAAAAGCATTACGAAGGGAAAAAGATACTTGAAAGTATGTCAAAACTCGAAATAACAAAAACTCATCTTTAAAAACTAACCAAAAAATAGATTTAATGCATAATCAAATAAAATTTGAAAATAGCTAAGAAGAAAAATCTGATCACGTCGAAACGGACCCTTATTTCTTTATTTTTGTGTGTATATAAATATATGACCATCTATGCATGAATATGGGGAAGTAAATCAACTAGCTGACCATATATTTTTATGATATTATCTTGGTAAATTAATCATGGCTTTTGCATTATTATCATCACCATCACTAGTTTCAATTTGTGACAAATCTTTTATCAAACCTTCCTCTCTCACCCCTTCTACACATAGATTTCACAAGCTATCTCTTGTGGATCAATCCTTCAGTAATTTGTATATTCCTATTGCATTTTTTTACCCTAAAGTACAACAAAGAGAAGAGTCAAATAATTCTCATGAACTTTCCCATATAGCTCATTTGTTACAAACATCTCTATCACAAACTCTCGTCTCTTATTATCCTTACGCTGGGAAATTGAAAGACAATGCTACTATTGATTGTAACAATATGGGAGCTGAGTTTTCTAGTGCTCGAATAAAGTGTCACATGTCTGAAATACTTGATTATCCTGATGCAGAGAGTATAATTTTTCCCAAGAACTTGCCTTGGGCGAATAATTATGAAGGTGGCAATTTACTTGTGGCGCAAGTAAGTAAATTTGATTGTGGGGGAATAGCGGTTAGTGTATGCTTATCGCATAAGATTGGTGATGGTTGCTCTGTACTTTATTTCTTTAATGACTGGGCTAGTCTCACTCGTGATCGCGCAACAACAACTCTGATTAATCCTTCTCCTAGATTTGTAGGAGATTCTATCTTCTCAGCACAAAATTATGGTCCTCTTGTTGATCAACGATTTATGTCCGATCTCAATGAGTGCGTACAGAAAAGATTAGTTTTTCCTACTGCCAAGCTAAATGCCCTCCGAGCTAAGGTAATCATACATCCAACTCAACAAGTCCATTATTATCTGCTTTCTTATGGTCTCCAAGCTAAATGGTCACTTCTTTTTTTTTAATTAACCAAAACGGATAAATTGCTCAGCACTTTTGGCTCTGGACATCATGTTACTATCTTTTTTTTTCCAGTTTCATATCTGTGAGTTTCATACATAAACTATTACTTAGTATTAGTTGGAGAAACACACCTGTCTCTTTTATTACACTCTCATCATGGTGTGTGTAATACACTCTCTTTTATTTTAAAAAAATTGACACATCACACTCCACATGGACAAAAATTAAATAAATTATTAATATTAGTTAAAGTTAAAGAATAAAGTATTACTATTTCCCAAAAAAAAATAATTATAAAAAAATATAAATATTTCCCCACTCGACCATTTCCTCTCAACCGTACTCCCCCATCCTAATTTTTTAGTTTTTTATTTTTAAAAAATCTTTTTATAGGAGTTTCTAAAAAAATTCTTACTTCATCTCCTCACCTCATAATTTAGATATTATTTTAATATTTTTTTAAAAATAATTCTATCCCACCCCATATAAACCTCTGCTTCTAATTTTTTCTTGTTCTGTATTCGATATACATATATTATTAGAAAAATATTTTTTTACTTGCCGCAAAACTTTTTTTAAAATAAATTTTTTATTTGTATTATATTTGGTAAGCAGGTAGTAAAAAATATTTTCCTAAAAATATATGTACACATCTAACACAAAACAAGAAAAATGAAAAAAATAAATAAAATAAATTAGGAGCGGATGCTTGAGTGGGGTGGGATTATTTTTTTTTTAAAAATAGTATCAATTTTTTTTTAAGGAATGAGTGGGAAAGGGGGTGAGAAAGATATTTGATATTTTATCAGTTTCAATTTATGTGAGATAATTTGAGTTGATATTCGGAATTGAAGGTAGCAATGGAATCGGGAGTAGAAAATCCAACACGGGCTGAAGTTGTTAGCGCACTTCTTTTCAAATGTGCAACAAAGGCAGCATCAAGTACAACCACTTTAATGCGCACATCAAAGTTAGTTAACTTCTTTGACGTACGTACTATGATGAAACCTCGTCTACCTCGTAGAACAATTGGAAATGTCTTGTCCTTATTTTCCACGTCAGCAATCGATACTAATAATGAGCAAGAGATGAAATTGCCAAAATTGGTTCATAGTCTAAGGAAGTTGCATATAAGAAAGAGCAAGTCCAACAAAATGAACTCATCATGAAAAAAAGAAAAATGTTACTTGAAAATAAGGATGAAAACTGTAGTAATGTTTATCTCTGCAGATATCCATTCTATAATGTGGATTTTGGATGGGGAAAACCTGAAAGAGTGTCTCTAGGAAATGGTCCCTTCAAGAATTCATTCTTCTTGATGGATTATAAAATTGGGCAAGGCGTAGAGGCGCGGATAATGTTGCACAAACAACATATGTCTGCATTTGAACGCGATGAGGAACTTCTTGAGTTTATTTCCTAATTAGCTCCAATAATATTAGTAGTATTTACGTATAACATGTTGTGTTGTTTGATATTTTCTTGTAGTAGTGCATATTAATAATGTTATCGTATTTTCTTGTAGTAGTGCATATTAATAATGTTGTCGTATATGTTAAAACTAACCAAAAAAATACTATATGTTAATAGAATTAGTTGCAATTTAGACAAGGCAAATAGGGATATACACCTAATAAAGTTGGTGAACTAATAATATATATATATATATATAATTAGTTGCAATTTAGACAAGGCAAATAGGGATATACACCTAATAAAGTTGGTGAACTAATAATATATATATATATATATATATATATATATATATATATATATATATATAAAAGAGAATCCTAGGCCCGTCTATGTGGCGCCATCACAAATCAGGATTTTCTTTTTATTTATTTATTTTCAAAATTAGCCTTCCCTTTCATGAAAAGTTGTGACTTTATGAAAAGCTATAAATTTTATCAAAAGTTGTGACTTTTATGAAATATTGTGACGTTTATGAATAGTTGCGACTTTTACGAAGAGTTTTGACTTTTATGAAGAGTTACGACTTTTATTAAAAGTTGTGACTTTTATGAAAGGTTGGGACTTTTCCAAAGAGTTGTGACCTTTCCAATAAGGCACAATAAGCATTACATGAAAAGTCGCAAAAAAATAAAGTTTCAACCATATCGAATGAAACATAAACAACAAAATATGCCTTTTAGTTATCAAAGTAGTGTCATCGAATGTGAATGATTTTGAATAAGAGACTTGCCATGACATATTTAATCCAAATTATTTGAGCGACATAACTTATTTCATTGAACTCCAAGAGATGTTTTTTTAAAATTTTAATTAACTTATCCATTACACAACTAATTATATTAGATGTGTAATATTTAGATTTTGTATGTAGATACCTTGAATAGGAGAAAAACTCTCGCAATAGATGAATACAATATTTGTACCACTTTTGAAAAATACAAATATAGACAATGAAACAATTACATATCTCTTCTAAAGACTATGGTGATGAATAACTACAGTAAAATGAAGAATTACTAACAAAATGCATAAACACTTGGAATCAAATCTTTTTGATTTTAAGATTAAAAAAGTATTTCATTTCATCTTTGGACAAAATATTCTTGACAATTTATCGTAGGACTGTACCCACTCGAAAACACTTATATTATCAAATGAGATTATTGATGTAGTTCATCACCGCGCTTCGCAATTTACCTAGTGGGAATGAAAATGAAGTATCAAGACATGGTAGTAAATTAAAATATATTTTTCAAAAAATAACAAGAACTTCAAGATTTCAACATATTAGGCCTAACTCAATCCCAAAATTTCAAGGGAAACTAAGCAAATATCCCGCAAAATGATTACAAACATAAACCCCTTTATACATTGAGTCCGGCATCAAAACGGACACTTTCTGAATCATAAACACCAAAAGGGACCCTCTCTAAAAAGTAAAAACACACACCAAAACGGACCCATTTATGGATGAACTACAACTACCATCTTTTAACGTCATAGTCTCTGTTAACTCCAAATTTATCCAAATCATTTTATACAAATCTTAAAGCTAGTTCGCCCACAAAGCGACAAACTATAATTCTTTTTGTTAACCCCGCTACGTGAATCTATATTTTGTATTATTGTTTGTTTTGGTACATCGGTAAAGAGTAGTAACTAAAAGTTTTTAAAACCTTTGATAAGCTACATAAGCTAGGAATTCCTCCTCACTTGGTCTCAATATTTATAACTTATTTCAGATCATAACTTTCAAAAGTTTTTCTTTTATTTCATAAAATCAAGGAGTTCCTCATCGCATTCAAATTCAAGCATTTGTTGCATTTGCAACATCACCTGTGCCTCCATGCCTTGCCTAGTTTTGTAATCTTTCAAGAAAAACACATTCTTGAAAGGACCATTTGCTCTTGGCAGAATAGCTGAAGACCCCTATAAACTTGACGCATTTTATTCAGATCCTCTGAATAGGACATTCTGTGTATGCTTGCAGTAATCTTTGCAAATATAGGGGAAGACCTGAAAGAGTATGTATAAATTAATAATCATGACAAATAAGAGGAATAAAAATGAAGTATCAACACACAGCAATAAATTAAAATAATTTTTTCAAAAAAATAATAATAAGATTTTGAAAAAAAAAAAAAAAGTAATAAGAACATCAAGATTTTAACCTGATTTTTTTTTCTTTTGAAGAGTAGTAATAATAACTTTATTTTTATTAAAACAGCTGTCATTTTTAATTGATTAAAAAAAGCTTTATTTTGATCAAACAATTAATTTCATATTTTCTCCTTAATTATACCTCACAAGCAAAAATCTATTAGTAAACAATACCTTCAAATACAAGTGATTTTTCTTAAGAAAATTTGCATTAGGTCTAACTTAATCTCAAAATTTAATTCACTAAGTGATAATCAAATTATTTTAAAAAGACTACTCATCTGTTAAATGATGGATATGAGAAAATTCACATATATCAAGCATAAATTTGCACGTGCTCAAATTGGGACGAATGCCCCACACTAGCTAGTAGCAACCCAACTGGAAACATTAGTACAACAATAACTGTCTTTGTATCGTCGTTGTACGTCCCTTTTTTAACCATACAAATTGTTCAATTATTGATTTTCTTTTTACGTTAATTGAAAAAATAGAATTAGCACCCCTTCAATCAAATTGATGTGGTAATATTTAAAATGGAAATGAAATGAAATTTAAAAAAAATTAAATTTATAATTTAAAAATATTTATGTGATGGTAAATCATTTCATTATAAATTTAAAAATTAAATAAAATAATTTTTTAATATAAAAGGGACAGTGCCATTATTATTCAGGCTAAAAAGTAATTGCAAATTATCGTATAAATTGGGAAGGGCTAGAGTACGTAAATGAACCTATCTAGATATCACTAACTAGCTACCTTTCGTTTTTCCAAGTGTGCATAATTAATTGGTCCTATTAATTTCCTTTTGCGTTTATAAAGATTTTGTGTTGCTATAAATTATTTTATTAAAAATAAAATAAGTATTTTAAATTTAAAATGTTACTCTTTGATTCCATTTTATGTGACACCCTTTTTTTTAGTTTGTCCCTAAAACAAACAATGTCACCCCTCCTGATCTTCATGTGCTCCTTTGCGCATATGTATATGACATATGTGTGACTCAATCCCATGACATTATTTGAACAATCCTCTTATCTTATATGTGTGGACAAGTGTGAGTGGAGAGAAAGGATATGAAAGAATCTTTTCATTTTTATTATATTTTCTTTTTAAACAGAGTAAACAAAAAAAATATAGGACGGGTAAACAATTATGTAAATTATGTGTCTCTCTCTATATATATGAGAAATGGGGAGGCAATTCAACAAGCTTAATTACCATTGCATAGATGGCTTTTGCATTATTATCATCACCATCACTTGTTTCAATTTGTGACAAAACCTTTATTAAACCTTCTTCTCCCACCCCACCTACTCTTAGATACCACAAACTGTCTTTCTTTGATCAATTCATTGGTCATATTTATATCCCTTTTGCATTTTTTTACCCAAAAGTACAACAAAGAGAGGAGTCAAATAATTCTCATAATGAACTTTCTCATATAGCTCACTTGCTACAAACATCACTATCACAAACTTTAGCCTCTTACTATCCTTACGCTGGAAAATTGAGAGACAATTCTACCGTTGATTGTAACGATATGGGAGCGGAATTTTCAATTGTGCAAATAAAGTGTCACATGTCTGAAATACTTGATCATTCTGATGCATCTCACGCAGAGAGTATAGTTTTCCCCAAGGACTTGCCTTGGGCTAATAATTATGAAGGTGGTAATTTATTAATAGCGCAAGTATGTAAGTTTGATTGTGGGGGAATAGCCATCAGTGTATGCTTATCGCACAAGATTGGTGATGGCTGCTCTGTGATTAATTTACTTAATGATTGGTCACGTATCACTTGTGGTCATAATACGAACATAACTTTGGCTCCTAGATTTGTAGGAGATTCTATCTTTTCTACACAAAAGTATGGTCCTCTTATTGCTCCACTGATGGAATCCAATGTTAGTGAATGCGTACAAAAAAGATTCATTTTTCCTACCGCCAAGTTAGATGCTTTTCGAGCTAAGGTAATACTCTCTCTATATATACTACATACCATCAGGTAAAGTTATTTATTGATGATACATATAACTTAAATTAATAACATTTGGGGTCGTAATTTGAAGGTGGCAGCAGAATCAGGAGTAGAAAACCCAACAGAGACTGAAGTTGTTAGCGCGCTTCTTTTCAAATGTGTAATAAAGGCAGCATCAAATACTACAACTACTTCAAAGTTGGTTCACTACTTAGACGTACGTACTATGATGACACCTCCTCTACCTCGAAGTGCCATTGGAAATATCTTGTCTGTTTTATCCACAATAGCAACTAAAGAACAAGACATTGAGATACCAACGTTGGTTCGTAATTTAAGGAAGGGAGTTGAGGTGGCGTACAAGAAAGATCAAGTGGAACAAAATGAATTTATCTTAGAAATAGTAGAATCCATAAGAAAAGGGAAAATACCATTTGATGATGAAAATTGTAGCATGTATTTTTGCTGCAATCTTTTTAAATACCCATATTACAATGTAGATTTCGGATGGGGAAAACCTGAAAGAGTGAGTATACCAAATGGTCCTTTTAAGAATTTTTTCTTCTTCATGGATTATCAGAATGGACGAGGCCTTGAGGCGCGGGTAATGTTGAAGAAACAACATATGTCTGAATTTGAACGTGATGAGGAACTCCTTCATCAATTAATTGACTGACCTCTCTGTCGTCTTCAGGAGTTTTATGTGTGTCTGTGTCTTCTCTTGAGTTTGAAGTGTGAATAAAAAAAAGTATCTCATCCATCAATTCAAGGCTGCGTGTTCCCGGACTTTACTAGTAGGATTATATATATTGTGTATGTATTTGTCATTGTTGTTATATATTTTGCCTTTAGGAGTAATAAATTGAAATCTGCATGCATGTTGATGATTTCATTTTCGCTGTGATTTCGCTCATTTCATTCTACTTCCAAGTTATTTGTTTGACCAGAAAAATTATGATTCATATTTTCTTCAAAATTCAAAATAAATTTTACTTTATTTGAAAATTAATATTTGATTTTGAAAAAATTTAAAATTTAATTTGAACTTACGTTTCAAAAACAACTTATCGTCTATTTTCTAATTCACTTTCAAAAAACAGCCGTACATTCAAATATAAAAATTATTTCAATTACTATAATATAATATGAGAAATAGGGAGGCAAATTACAATTGTTAAGCTAACTATATTGCTCAGGGGCGGACCTAGAGGTTGCCGAGGGGGTTCCACCAAAACTCTCTCGGTAAAAAATTACGTTGTATATTTAAGGTATTTTTAAGAATTTTTATGTTTATATATTGATTTTTAACCTCTTGAAGGTAAGATTAGAGGTTGACTTAATTGTTGAGGGGGTTCAAAACTCACCTCGAGGTTCCAAAATCAAATCTTAGGCACTGCACCTTTTTTTCCCGAACCCCCTTAATGGAAATATTTATTTAGCTACAGTATTTTGTTTTAAATAACCTTTTTCATAGTTAAAAGGTTATTAATTAACTATGAAGTTTAATCATAACAAATTATATGTGGCTACATCATTTAACTACACTATTTTGTAATATAAAGCAAAATTATTTATTTAACTACAATATTTTGTTTCAAATAATTTTTTGTGTCTAAAATGTTACTATTACTATAATAAGTTTCAAGTCATGAAAAAAAAGAATAATTAACTATGAAATTTTATTATAGCAAAAAAGATGTGGTTATTTCATTTAATTATTGCCATAAATTTTTATAACTCGAAGTAAAATTATTTATTCACCTACATTATTTTATTTCAAATATATAATTTATTGTAGCTAATAAAATGTTACTATTGCAGAAATAATTTTTTTAGCTTGTCAAAATTTATGGTTAGCCACAAAATATTACTCTATATCAATAAGTTGTAGTTATTTGTCTAATAATTGTAGCAAACATGAGGAATTAGCTTTGGTATAAAAGATTAATATATAAATTTATTTGTAGTTATGAAATTCAAATACCTGTGGCTATTTGCTACTATAATTTTTTTCATTTATAGCTTAGATTTCGTAGTTATTAGCGTGGCACATGATTAAATAGGAATGCAGCCCCACACCTACCAATTCCATTAATGAGAGTATTGTTAAAAAATTAAGTTAAATAAGTAATGCATAAATGAACTCTCTGTTTTGGTGTGTGTTTTTAGAGAGGGTCCCTTTTGGTGTTTAGGGTTCAAAAAGTCTTCGTTTTTATGCCGGACTCCTTTATATTCATTCCCCACTAAATAACTATATTATATACCCCGAACTAATTTCACTTAATTGATACTGAAATCAGTATCATTTGTAGCCCCTTAAAGTTGTATGTATAATTCATTTAGACACCTCAACAAATCTTGTTTTCTGTTAGACACTCCAACCTTAAAAAATAAATACTTATTGAACCTTTTTCTGACACATAGTCAAAAGAGAAAGTGCGTGTATTAACACATGCATATGATGTGGCAAAATAACAAATCAAATAAAGACACGTGACATTTTAATTTAAAATAATTATAAAAATGAATTTTAAATATAAAGAAGTCAAAATCATAAAGGAAAAG